TAGTATACAGAGACCTCGGTGGATAGAGGAGATAGAGAAGAAAGAGAGAACAATATCTCCAACAGATATATACATTACACGTGGAGGAGGCAACGAAAATAAAAAAAAAGTCCAAATTGTCTTCTCATTGATTGTAATCTTCCTCAGAAACACATTGAAAAGAAGAAGAAATTGCCAACTGATCATGTGAATCTAGCTCCCTGCTTGTACCTCCTCTGCAGATAAAGTCGCACCTGATTCCTGGAAAGTCGTACCAGTAGTGATTTTGAATGTAACAGGAATTTCCATAGTCGATACATTGATCACAAATTCATACTCTGATCTCTTGTAATTTGGTAACAAGAAATAAATGCAAAAAAAAAACTGTTGAAACATATGAATGCAAACACACTAAAATAAAACTGTTGAAAAATATTTAAATGACAAAGAAGCACGTTCATAAACAGTAGCCACATGCGAAGAAACATGCGTCTAAACAATGCTGTACCAATCATGAAAGTGAGGAATAAGCATGAATTGCAGAGGAAGCTAAATGTGTCAATACAGGTGGCACAGTACTATTGGTGGAGAGTAGTCACATATGTACATGTTCAGAAATGGTGCAAAATTGATGGGGTATAAAGATTGGTGTGCTGATAGCAAAAATATTTTAACAATGCATAGAGGGCATAATCGAGATAGCTTTGTGTGAGTGGAAACCATATCAGGATTAGTTATGTACAAGTTAAACTGTAATTATAATATTACAGTCACTTGTTAAAAAACACACATTTTAAAATTTAATAAAAAATATCCTATTTCCCTTTCAAATTATGTATTATATAGATTGGTTTGGTTATTGTTAAGCACAAAGCTCACAATGAGTTATCTGTGCTCTGCACACCACAGGTATCAAAACCTGATTTGTTTAGTATTGTAAGTCTTCAGACATACCACTGAGTCAATAGGGGTATATAATACAGAAAAAATTAATAAGAACTTGTTTTTATATTTGGCACACACCAGGACAATATATTTAATATTCTTGAAAATTTGTATGCAATTGTATATTATAAATGTGTAAGTTGTATATATAACACGATAGAATTTGAGAGAAACAATATTAGCTGCATGTAAAATAAATAAACAAAATAAAAACCAACATACAGTTGCTTTTCCATCTCCAGCAAACCAACCCGGCCGTTCCCAACCCAATCTTTCTTGGAAGATGCAGCCTTTCTCAGCCAACTCCTGCATGATCAATAAGTATTTTACTAAAATAAATGATCTAACTGATATTTGTGAAAAAAACCACTTATGGAAAAATGAAATGTCTAACCTTTTTATCTTGAAAAAAAAAAAAGTACTGGACTTATACTTGCAATGTCACTAGATGTCACAGACAGGCAAATTAAAAGAACAAAAATGGTAAAATCTATACAATTGTTTTCCGTTTATTTCCATAAATGTATCACTTAAAAAATGAGAGAAGAAGAAGAGATATAAACTGTGTCCCAAGGTGGTTAGATTTTATTTCATAGCAAAATTCATAATAAAAAAATAATAAACATGGCTTAGGGTTTTATTTTATTTTCACAATTACCTTGTATGTCTTCTTGATTGAAATTGTGATACTAATGTAAAATACAACTATAATAAACTTCAGATCAAAAATTTAGATATGACGGTGCACAGTTAGCATATAATATAAAGAACCATCATGAAAACATCACTATACAGCAGATCTTGGCACTTTCAAAGCAAAAGTTAATTTCTTCCTAAAAGTGCTAAAACTGCTGTTATAATTCATATTCTTTCTATAGTTGGTGAATCACAAATTGGACAGCAAAAATATGGACATATCTCTTCTCCATGTGACAGTCATAAAGTGATCCTACTTATACTAGGTAAGGCAGGACATAGTACAAATATTCCATGAAGTAGTAGATAAATTCCATGACTGAATTCTGCCACATATGTTATTGAACTAAAAACTTGCAGAACCATTTTAATAAATGTTTATAAAATGTATAAATAGAATAATTAACTCACATCATAAAATGGGTCTTTTCTCATGTTTCTACAAGCCAAGGGCTCATCATGTGGGTAGACAATAGAGTAATTTTTTGCATAAGATTCATGACTACGTTCCTTGATCCATTTTTGATTGTCTGTCAACTTCGAGGAATAGCGTCTGAAATTTATAAACATTATTCAACTATTAAAAGTGATCTATGTTTTTCGAAAAAAATCCATGTACATTTATTTAACTTAGTTCTTCTATTATCATGGTACTCAGCATATGAATTAACAGTTTCCAAGTAATGTAATGTCAGAAAAGACTGATGGCAGTTTAGATTACTTTTTTTTTGAGAATGAAATATGTGTGTGTTTTGTTATAATGAAGCCACACCAGGCTATCTGTTGTGCCCATCAAAGGGAATCAAACCCCTGATTGTAGTGTTATTAAATCCAAAGACTTACTGCTGTCCCATCATGAGACTTAAGCTTGAAACAAATATAAGATTATGATAATAGGATAACTGATCATGCTACAACTTAAAAAACATCAGATAACTAAAGAGAAAAAAAAAATTAAACCTTTAAAAAAAACAATAATTAGATACGAGAAACTATGAAATTAAAAATACTTCTTTAGACAACAAAAACATGAAGGTTTTTATTGATAAAATATCAGGCAAAACTGAATGAAAGCAAGTAGTGTAAATCTAGCTAGTATACACACAATTAGTACATAAATTATTTTTGAAGATTTGATTTACAACACTCCCATTCCCTTATTTTTGACTAGCATGGCCAGGTGATTACGATGCTCAACTCGCACTCTGCAGTTTGTGGGTTCAAATCCCCATCCTACCAATATAAGGGCTGTTTCCACCCATATTTTGTTCCAATATACACAGCGTGGTCACAAGTAAATAGACACCACCTTTTCTGAAAAAATGAACATTTTCAGCCATATTCATATGAA